ATTCTATTTGTTCACAGATAAACTTAAACTTCTCGCTTCACGTATTTCCTTCAACTATCTCAGGTGACCAGGTTGGAATGGTTACCCGCTTGAGATCTCGTAGGTACAAGTCTAGGGTCTGAGCAAAAGGATTCATTGTGATGTCTGGAGAAAAAGCCAAAGAAACAGGCTCTTCTTTCGAATTAAAAAAAGTAAGCTTATCGGTTAGGATACAGATTTCAGCTACGTTGGTATCTTTAAACATTTTTCTTATCTTAAAAATGTTTTTAAGTAATTGGGTGTTGATTTTCAATTGCTTAGCTATCATTTTATTATGCTTCCACCCAAGGCCAATATTCCTTACCTTTATAAGTGTTAGAGATCAGCGTCACTAAGGTGTGATATATACTTTTTTAACCGGTTTCTATGTATTTGTTTCTTTAGGACTCTCTTACTTTTTAGTAGCTTATCGCTTGGAGCTGTGTTTATTGTTCGTAATTTATAAGATCTATTCCCACAAACATTATGGATGTAGTACGGGCCTGTAAACTTTTGCTCAAATTTAGCACTATATGACGTTTCTAATGAGGACTTATACAACAGGACCTTATCTCCAATCTGGTAGGTCTCAATGTGGTGTTTCCGATCATAATAAGCCTTTTGTTTGTTTTGGGCTTTGCTAACATTATCTTTTGCATGACTTCAGCTATTTTCTAGGACTCCAATTATTGATTCTATTCGTCGTAATAGATTATCTTGTAACCTATCTTCAGTAATTACCTCCATAGGATAAGTAGAAACAACAGTTTCTACTAGGAGAATGGCATCTCTACCATATATCAAGAAAAAAGGTTCATATCTTGTAGTATAGTGATGCGTTATTCTATAAGCAAATAACGCTGCAGGGATATAAATATTCTAATTTTCACCATACTGGCCTATGCATCTTGCTAGGACTTCGCACAATGTCCTATTAAACTATTCTACCAACTCATTGGTCTGGGGGTGGTAAGCTGAGGAGGTTCTATGATGAACCTTCATCTTATCACAAAGGAAGCTCACAAGTTTATTGCAAAAGTGAGTTTCTTGGTTCAAAAGTAACTCATATGAGCTCCTATGCCTACATATAATGTCCTCAAAAATAAATGAGGCAACAGATTCAGTATTGACTTTATCAAGGGCCTGAGCTTCCGGCCACTTAGTAAGATATTCTGTAGCTACTACAATATACTTATGCCCTTTTTCTGTTACCAGGAGTGGTCCAACAATATCTATACCCAACTGGTTGAAGGGTTGACCAATTCTTATTAGGTGAAGAGGTTCATAGGTCCAGGGCCATCCTCTCCTTTGGCACAAAGTATCACAGGCTTCAACATATTTCTTTATATCGGTCCCTATCTGAGGCTAATAATACCGGACTATTACCCTCTGGTAAGTAGATTCTTTTCTGAAATGTCTGAATAGAAGGTCCGAATGCATGGTATGTAATATAGGTTCTATTTCATGAGGCTTCAACACTCTTAGGGGTCACGTGGATTAGACTTATATAATAGTCCATCTTTCTTAAGGTAATAACGAGTCTTATGTTTCAATGTTCGTTCATTGTAATTTGGCAGCACCTTAGACCTGCTAAGGTATTCTATATAAATTTTGTAGGTTTCTGTATCTATAAAAGTCCATTAATCAAGAAGAGGTTATCGAAATCGGTATTATCACATATAAA